ACAAGATGTATAAAACCTAAAATAATAAACATGATACTATTTCCTTGGTTTATACATTTTTCACCCTTTTTTAGCATCAACATTTTCTTTTAGCAGTTTTGTAGTGATACAGAATATTATCTTAATTTAATTAACATAATAAAGTGAAGCTTGTGAAGTTTGTTTGTATGTTTGTTTTATTACACTTTTCACTAAATTAAATATCAAAAATCATATTTATTTTACACAAGTCTGTGGCCATGCACGCCTGTAAATGACAGAGCATCAGTCGTTAGGCGTTAATCACATTACAATACATTCGACAAATAATAAACTTCCAGCTCTGTATCATGGAGAACACGATTGCACAGTGTTCTGGATGATAGAGAGCCATTTTCACAACTGTGTTGGTATTTTTAATACACATTTTCTTTCTTGTTTGAATTAATGTTGACATTTATTTACCCTTTATCTTCTTTTTTAGGAAAGATGCCATCATTTACCACAGCAAATGCTTCTGACAATGATGACAATGTGGTCTCATTGTTTGTAAGAGACCTTCATCCTGATGTTTCCAAGTTCTTTATCAGATGTTCATCAGGTGTTTTGTTAGTTTTGGATGATATTCAACAGTTGTTCGAGGACCAGATGTCTGAGCTGCCTCATGAATATCTGCTGATCTTGTACGTATCAGATAATGAAATACAGCAGTTGTATTTGGTTGGTTTGGTTTAGCAGACATCAAACCATAAATTATTGAATCTTGGCCTTTATTGTATTATATTGAATGTGTGCCATTGCTTTAGTCTGTAATCAGTGATGTTTGAGTAACCCCGTCCTTCAGACCAGCAGAAATAAGATTTAGAAAAGCCATCTCACCAGGGAACATAAAGTTTAGCATATTTAAAATGAACACACTTAATACAATTTAAATTAGTACATCTTAAATAATTCTAGATATGTAAATAGAATATATTAAATGTTTTCTGATGATTAAAAAAATTCAGAGGAGCTAGTTTTCTTGAGGACATCAACACTGCTCATGGTGCATGATCTATCAATGTTAGTTTGTTGTCTGTTGTTTGTTCCTTTTCACTTTGACCTTTGTGTTTCTGTAACATGGTGAAAAGTAATTATGGGTACTCTTCTGCTTCCCAGGAGGTTTTGCTGGATTTCTGGGCACGTGTGAGGAACCACGTGAAGACTGATGAGGAAGAAACTGTTCCTCTTTGATTCTCATCAGTAAGGACATGGTGAGAGTTATTATCTCTTATGTTGTATTGTGAATAATATGATTTTGTTCATTTATCAAACGTCTTCTGTGTTCAAAAGCTTTCCACAAACCTTCAAACACCTTCTACCACTTTAATCCCACCTCCACATATTCCACCACACATTTGTCTCAGTACATCTGTCATTGTTTCATAAAGGAAGACCAGCGGCAGCTCTTTGAACGAAGTGACGGATCCAAACACCAAATAACACTCTCAATTTGCAGCCGTCGGCATGGCTGGTTAAACAACACAGCGTGAGGAGAGCCGTGAGCGTGTGAAGAGACCCTTGAAGGAGCCGGGAGAGAGAAAGCGAGGTGGAAAGATGACGGGGAGAAAGTGAAAAGGAGAAAGGGGCTTCTAGCTTCAACTGATTTTATTCACATTTGAAATTCTCTACATTAGAACAGGCAGGAAACGCATTTAGATTCCCATCCGATCAAGATCTTTTATACCCGTTTACCCCTAAAGAATTTCAAACCTATTCTTATGAAATAATGGGGCTGAGATGGAACGTTCTTGAATGATTGCGAGATCTTCTGATCAAATGAAAATGGAGGTGCATTTAAGGAGAAAAATAAGCAATTTCCATGTGGCATCTGAACACAAAAGCTCGTGTCATGGTCTGCAAATGTGCGTGAACCGTGTGCCTCCTGTTGAATGAAAATATATAACACAAGATCAGTCTGGAGGGACTGTGAGGGGGGCTAATTGAATAAAAAATGCCAGTAATGCCAGTAATGTTGACTTGTTTAGTCCTTGAGGGCAGCTGCGACTGCCAGCACATAGTGGGTTATTTCAGAGGGGAGAAATGAAGAGAAACACACTCACAAAGACAGAAAAAGTGAAAGAAGGAGATTTGTTACTACAGTATTTAAGCAGAGCAGAGACACACTGCCCCCTGCAGTCCACAAGTAACATTAACGTAAGAATCACAATCAACAGTGGACCGAGATATGCACAACACAACTGGTCTGCTGAAGTGCAGTGTCCCTTATCTAAGCAATCTGGTGAAGTCTCTCTGAAACCTGTGAAGTTTTGCTGTTATTCATCATCTCAGTGATCAAGCAGATGTCCTTGTCAAGTGGAACTTCTGCAATCTTAAACAGCTGTTGTGTTTCAGGCAAAAAATGAGGCCACCTGCAGAGCCATTGGGAAATCAACCTCACACACCTGCTTGACTCGCACTGAAAATAAGCTGTAGCTGTTTAAAGGTACAAGAGTAAAATTGTCGGTAAGTACACATTGCATGTCTCTTTCCTTGCTACAAGGGGCGCTGGAGTGGGCATTAGGGTAATCTGACTCTTTCTATGGTCAGTTTTGTCTCTCAGAAAAAATACAAAAAAAAGTTCCGTCATGAAACTCCTTGGCGCAGGCCAATAGTTTCTAACTCTATCTGATATAATTTCATCATCATTCACATGGCCCAGCTGATTGGTTCTTTTCGCATCAGCAGTCAATTAGCTTGCTGCTCAACATTCAAATACTTTCATCACTGTAGCAGTTTGCAGTGTGCTTTCAGAAACCCTCCACCTTCCCCAGCTCCACCTGTATAGATCTGCTACGGGTAATTTCGCATATGTTATATGTGCGGGGTAAATTCATGTACGTTATATGTGCAGCAGCAATATTTCATACATGCTTACAGCAGTGTGTCTGTGGATGTATTGGCAGTAGCAAGTCTCGGTTCTTGCTCTGCCGCAGCAGAAGCAGCAGCGTAGCAGATCTATTCTGCCAAAACCAAACACGTTAACATTGCTTTGTATATGACCATGCTAAACTCACAGAGTTGTCATGACAGAGTAACTGTATTGGTAGAGCAAGAGAATTTTGATGATCAAGATAGACAAGGTTAGTAAAACTCTTCACATAATAATGTTGAAGTGAATAATGTCCCCTTCAAGTTGGAAATATTGTAATTACAATTTACAAGCACATGAGTGTCCATGCAAGCGAAGACTTGTTTACGAGTGGAAAACTTTAGAGGGAGTTTCCGAATTGATCTATATAGACAAGTGTGAAGTAAATAAAAAAAATTATGTAACAAAAAATGATAGAAATAAGAGATAGAGATAGATTGATAGAAATAATAATTTTGGGTTGGATTTATTGTTTACAAC